ATGGTGATCAGCCCTTGGATACACTGGGAGCGAGCTGATGGCACCGAGGTAGGCTGAAGAATGACTGCGCATTGTATTTCAGGAAATAAACAGGAAATGGTTCGTCGGAAGCGCTCCGACTGTGTAGCCTCTAAGAAAGCAGGCCCCAAAGCTGCACTGTCAATCTTGTTGTTTTTTGAGATTGGAGTCTCTGCCGCCCAGGCTGGAGTGCATGGCGGGATCTCGGCTCACTGCAACCTCTGCCTCCCGGGTTCAAGTGATTCTCCTGCCTGCAGCCTCCAGAGTAGCTGGGATTACAGGCGCTGATCTGCCCGCCTTGGCCTCCTAAAGTGCTAGGATTACAGGTGTGAGCCACTGTGCCTGGTCTCTTCAGGCTTTGATGTATCTTACCAAATTGCCCTCCAAAAGGAACATAAAATTTATATTAAGTTCTTCTCCATTTGAAATATCTAGGGTGGTTTTGCTTTCCTGATTGATGGAATAGCCCACCATTGAAATTATCTTTGAATATCCTACAGGAGTTGTGCCTGACTGCCTGACACATTTTTTTTTTTTTTTTTTTTGAGACGGAGTCTCGCTCTGTGGCCCAGGCTGGCAGTGCAGTGGCCGGATCTCTGCTCACTGCAAAGCTCCGCCTCCCGGGTTTACGCCATTCTCCTGCCTCAGCCTCCCGAGTAGCTGGGACTACAGGCGGCCCGCCACCTCGCCCGGCTAGTTTTTTGTATTTTTTTAGTAGAGACGGGGTTTCACCGTGTTAGCCAGGATGGTCTCAATCTCCTGACCTCGTGATCCGTCTTGGCCTCCCAAAGTGCTTGAGATTTACAGGCTGAGCCACCGCGCCCGGCCCACATTTTTTTTTTTCTTTTCTTTAAGCGTCTGGCTCTGTCTCTGTCCCCCAGGCTGGAGTACATGGTGCCATCATGCTCACTGCACCCTCAAACTCCTGAGCTCAAGTGATCCTCCCACCTCAGCCTTCTGAGTAGCTAAGGACCATAGGCTGCACTACCGCACCTGGCTAGCACCTTCAATAAATATAACAGAGTGTCCCCTCCCCTCCTTTCCTCCCATCCTCTCTTCCTTCCTTCTTTTTTTTTTTTTGTATTTTAGTCAGAGAGCGGGGTTTCCACTGTGGTTAGCCAGGATGGTCCGATCTCCTGGAGTCTTTGTGAGTCTGCCCACCTCGGCCTCCCAAAGTGCTGGGATTACAGGCGTGAGCCACTGCGCCTGGCCCCTTCCTTCCTTTTTATAGAGACAAGTTCTCACTATGTTGCCAGGCTGGTCTCGAACTCCTGGGCTCAAGTGATACTCCTGCCTTGGCCTCCCAAAGTGCTGGGATTACAGACGTGAGCCACTGTGCCTGGCCTAAGCCAGTTTTTCTACAAGCAATGGAAGAGATTGCTGTTTTTTGTTTGTTTTCAGTTAAATACCAGGTAAGTTCAGTGACTTGCTTTGACAGGACATCCTGTATGAAAAATACTTATCTTTGAACACTAGAATCAAACTCAGGAAGATGAGCTATGTACACTATGATAGGTACAAGGGAAAGAGACCGGTTTGAGGGAACGGGATTCACAACATCCACCTAACGCGAATGTGATACATATGTACATGGCGAGCAGACATCTAAACAACTGGAAACACAGCAGAAGGGCACATGCTTTTCTGAAATTGTTAACTTTCTCCTTTTCATTCAGTACCCATCTAGCTGAACTCACGTAATGAAATATTCATAGAATGTGACCCTATTCTCTGCTACAATTAGAGGGATTTGTGAAACTTTTGTCCTTTAATAAAACCATTGGTTGTAATTATTTATTAAATCAATCCATATGTTCCTCTTTCTTTTCACATTCAAATACACTTTAATATGAATGGCAATACATTTTAATGCTCCAGAGGAAAGAGCAGAACTCTGGCCATTGTACATTCTTTATTAAACATCAATACTGAAAACAGATTTACTGACACACATATATATATATAAATATAATCAAACTGATAAAAAGGGACAAGAAATAGTAATTTCTCTCTCATGTGGTGGTGCGACTTTGGCTCACTGCAACCTCCACCTCCTGGGTTCAACTGATTCTCCTGCCTCAGCCTCCCAAGTTGAAATTACAGGTGAGTACCACCACACCCGGCTAATTTTTGCATTTTTAGTAGTGACAGGTCTTCACCATGTTGGTCAGGCTGGTCTGGAACTCCTGATCTCAGATGACCCACTGGCGTCAGCCTCCCAAAGTGCTGGAATTACAGGCGTGAGCCACGGCGCCTGGCCTTCACTTTCTTTTTCTATGTCCTCTCCTTCACTATCGTCTTCATAATAAAAGATGTCTCGAAACGGGAAAACTTGCTTGGGTGCTGCAGGAGTCTGGATTTCAGTGCCTTTTTTCTGCAACATCTTTTCTAACTTTTCTTTAAGCAAAGGTAGAGTCGTCTCATAAAGGTAGTCGATGATCTCTACAGAAAAGAAATTTAATTGTGCAATTATCTGTCTGTACAAGGCCTCTTTTTTTTTTTTTTTTTTTTGAGACGGAGTCTCGCTCTGTCACCCAGGCTGGAGTGCAGTGGCCGGATTTCAGCTCACTGCAAGCTCCGCCTCCCGGGTTCACGCCATTCTCCTGCCTCAGCCTCCCGAGTAGCTGGGACTATAGGCGCCCGCCGCCTCGCCCGGCTAGTTTTTTGTATTTTTTAGTAGAGACGGGGTTTCACCGGGTTAGCCAGGATGGTCTCAATCTCCTGACCTCGTGATCCACCCATCTTGGCCTCCCAAAGTGCTGGGATTACAGGCTTGAGCCACCGCGCCCGGCCTGGACAAGGCCTCTTATCACGGTTGAGGCATACAGGAGACTGGTAATGACTATGAACTGCTCCTGTTATTGCTGTGTGTAAGGTCTGGTTCCAATTGGTTTACTCACATTCACTTCTTCAATCCTTGCAAAAATCCTATGAGTTAGGCACTATTTTTAACTTGTTTTTCAACTGAGGAAACCAAGGCATAAAGACATTAAGAGACTTGCCCAAGGCCATGGAGTTCATAAGGATTCAAACCCAGGTAGTGATATCTGCTGAACGCAAAGACGCATTTCATCACAGCCCAGGATACGATATCATCCAAATGGTGGGTCCAGGAGAAACACCAGTGCTGCACAGACACTGAGAGAGCGCACAGGCCTGCAAGCTTGTTAGTGAAAATCCAGGCTCTGGACTCGGTCTGGAGACTAGGAATTGGTAGATCTGAAATGAGGCCCAGAAATTTGTATCTTTTTTTTTTTTTGAGATAAGGTCTGGCTGTGTCACCCCAGCTGGAGTGCAGCGGTGCGATCACTGCAGCCTGGAACTCCCAGGCTCAAGCAATCCCCCCCTCTCAGCCTCCCAAGTAACTGGGAACACAGACATGCACCACCATTCCCGGATAATTTTTGTATTTTTTGTAGAGATAGGGGTGTGTGTGGGGGGAGGGAGGGTCTCTCTATGTTGCCCAGGATGGTCTTGAATTCCTCGTCTTAGGCGATCCTCCCACCTTGGCCTCTCAAAAAGTGTTGGGATTACAGACATAAGCCACTGCATCTGGCCAGGAATTTGTGTTTTTAACAAGTTTCTCACATGGCTCTGATGATCTGAGTTTGGGACTTACATATCTAAAACATCCACAAATGGCTACAAAGAAGGAACTGGGTGTCTTTCATTCTTTCTGGAACGCGTGTATGCTTCTGTGTGTATGTGCATGTGTATGTGTGTACGTGCATGTGGTGTGTGTGAGTGCATGCATGTGGTGTGGTGCACAGGCATGTCGTGTGCATGTGCTGTGTGCACATGAGTGTGTGTGTGTGAGATGGTAACACCAGCAGGACTCAGCTATTTACAGAGTGGTCACTAAGTGTCAAGCACCGGGATGACCACACCTTACACGTTCATGGCCTCATTTAGGACTTCGGAAGGTCCTGCCATGTAGGGATTACACCTGCCTGTTTCCACCATTTTGCAGCTGAGGAAGCTGAGGCTCTAAGTCCAGTCACTTGTTGAGGTGACTTTCATTACCAGCATGTGGCACCAAATGCCATGTTCTTAGCCATATAAATATTAACAATACTAACCTGGAAAAGTCTTTTTCTGCCAAAATGGAACATAGATAGCTTTCAGCCTAGAAAATTTCGTTTGAACATAAGATGGAGGAACATCACTTTAGAAAAGGAAAGAAAAGATAAAAAGCAAGTTAGTTTAAAAATCTATGACTTCAATACAGTGTAGTCAGTACACATTGATTCAGGTGAGGTTTATAGCTTTACATAAACATAAGATCCTCATACATGTGTGATACAAATATGACACAATGTTTTGTGGAAGACGGAAAGCTATTGTTTATTTGGTTTAAAAAAAACGTAAAGGGGAAAAAGAATCGGTAGTACAGAATGGATTCGGTTTAAATTAAAATACTTGTATCACTAGTCGAGAAGGCAAAGTATAATGCTGGCCAATGTGCTGATGCTTACCTGGTGCTCAGCCCCGCCCGAAGCACCTTAACTGCAGCAATAAATAATCCTCCCGACAACTCGAGGAGGGAGCTACCACTCCCTCCCTCGTGCTGGAGAGATGAGGAAACTGAGGCACAGAGAGGTTGCCCAAGTTCACATGGCTAATCAGGGATAGAGCAGGGACTTCAGTAGGTAGTGTGACTCCAGATCCTACCCTCTTAATCATTACACTCAGGACAATGTATTGGTCACAATTCAAAGATAGATGTTCCCTGATATTTATCTTACAAAGCTAAAAAAAAGCAGATGCTTACGAGGTTTTGGTACGTTTTCAATTTACAATACATTTCAATTTACAATAAGTGGGTCAGAAATTATTCTTTGTTTTTTTTTTTTTTTTTGAGACAGAGTCTCGCTCAGCCCAGGCTGGAGTGCAGTGGCGCGATCTCAGCTCACTGCAAGCTCCGCCTCCCGGGTTCACGCCATTCTCCTGCCTCAGCTCCCGAGTAGCTGGGACTACAGGCGCCCGCCACCGTGCCCGGCTGATTTTTTGTATTTTTAGTAGAGATGGGGTTTCACCGTGGTCTCGATCTCCTGACCTCGTGATCCGCCCGCCTCGGCCTCCCAAAGTGCTGGGATTACAGGCGTGAGCCACCGCGCCCGGCCAATTGTTTTTTAAAGTAAAAACCACCAACTTAACTTTTTGGGCACTTTTTCCTAATAAAAGGGGAACATTCAAAAACAATTAATTAATCCAGTAGTTAAAATAATTAGCATGAAGAATTTGATCTGTTAAGTATGTAGAGGTAAAAGGTGATCAGATTCTTCCAACCTCTTCATTACAGTAATCACTAGCTGAGGACGTATGTGCCAGGTACCAGACTATGTTTCTTTCTTGCATTATCTTTTTTTTGGGGGGGGATGGAGTCTCGCTGTGTCACCCAGGCTGGAGTGCAGAGGCACATTCTCGGTTCACTGCAACCCCTGCCTCCAGGGTTCAAGTCGTTCTCCTGGCTCAGCCTCCTGAGTAGCTGGGAATACAGGTGCCCGCCACCACGCCAGGCTAAATTTTTGTATTTTTAGTAGAGACAGGGTTTCACCATGCTGGCCAGACTGGTCTTGAACTCCTGCCTTCAGGTGATCCACCCGCCTTGGCCTCCCAAGTGCTGGGACTCCAGGCGTGAGCCACTGCACCTGGCCCATTATCTCCTTTAGCCCTCCTAATGGCCTATTAAATCATTATGCCGATGAGGAAACAAAAGGCTCAGACAAATAGGTAACAATTGCCCGCAGACTTTAAGTGGAGTCCCTGGACTCTATGCCAAATCTGTCTCACTCTGAAACCCCAGCTCTAAGGCAGCCTGTGCCTTTCCCCTTCCCATAATGCTGTGCGCCCAACATGCTGCAGACCCAAGCCCATGCTTCGAGAAATAACAATAATTGATCTGGACATTTTAAAACTAAGCAAGTGTTACATCTCATTAGGTGGAGATGCTATCCTTAAATCCTGCTTATATCATTCACAAAGAAGTTTTTAAGAATCTGAGGAGACTGAACCTTCAATATAATTTTTACCATTTTGTTATTAAAACTTTGAGAGTATATAGTATTTCAAACAGTATTTGACTAGATGCCACATATATTTTTGTTTTTTTTTTCCTGCAACGCAACATGCGCTGTGTAAAACATATATTCTTCAAGTTCCTTTTCTTACCAGTAGGTCAGTCCATTTCAAGCACCTGGCAACGCCCTCCCTCGCGCTTGGGGACTCCTATGGTGGCTGAAGACTGGGTGCCCCTGCCCCTCAGATGAAGGCTAGAGCAACGACAAGAGGCTGGTCTGCGAGCACCGACGGCAATGTATCTGTCACATTGTGCCAATCCCTTCAGGCACTCAGTGGCCTAGGACTGAGGAAGTTGTCCGAATTCTCGGTGATGGCTCACCCATTCCCGGGAAGTATCGAGCGGTAGTTCCGAGATAACTTATCTCTTTCTTGTTTCGGGCTCTTAACATGTTGGATAAACTACAGATCCCAAACCATTAAACTCATACCTCTCACCTTCACGAGAACAAAGGTTTACAAAGCCCTTCGGTTCTTTGGTTTGCTATTGTGCTGTCTGTTTTTTTGGAGGACCAGCCTGTAAATGTCTCTCCGCTCAGCTCCTGTCACCACGTTGGGGACTAGCAGGTCGAGCGCCGGCTCTGCGAGCTGCGACTGCGAAGCTCGCCGCGTGATACCCCGGCCGAGGGTCAATGATGACCGGCCATGCCTTCGCAGTGACGTGCCCCGACGAAGTCTCTTTCCCGACGTAGGTCTCCGGAGCATGGCGCCGCGCAGCGCAGTCTCGCCCGGCCCTGAGGGCTGATTTTTGTATTCTTTAGTAGATGACGCGGCGTTTCACCGTATTTCAGCCAGGATGGTCTCGAATCTCCTGACCCTGTGATCCGCGCCGCCGCCTGGTCCCCGTCTCGGCCTCAAAGTGCGGACTCGACTCACAAGGCATTGAGCCACGCGACGCCCCCGACAAACAACAAAAAACACGATATACCCCACATAAAACTTCATCTCGCACACATATTTCCTACTAGAAATAATCTCACCTCAACAAAAACCTTTCCTAATGGACAGCCGAGAAATGGCAGCACCACACAACAGTAATCCGTAAGCACACTGCTCGTATTCTTGGATTCATCGTACATGGTCGCATGCTGCTTTTGGTGCCGTGCCCCCCACTGTCTGACCCTTCCAAAACACCAAGAGGCGCGAAGGACGCGCGCGCTATACCTACAACACAGCGAGACTGACAGCCGCCGCAAGCAGCCCCAAGAAGGCGCGAGCAGACGCACCGTAGAGGCGCCTGGTGTGCTGCCAGGCCCACGCTTCCCTTGCTTAACAGCAGTTAAGTCAGAGGTATCGTACGAGTGGTGGCCCTCTCCAATCACAGGAACTGTTAAAAAAGCGGGAAGAGCTTGTTGTTACCA